AGCTAGGTGTGGTCAATGCTGTGGTGGAGTTGTTCGCATGTTGGAGTTGTTATGGGAGTGAGAGGGAAGGTGGTTTTTGTTCTTGGTGGAAATAGAGTCACGAGAGAGAGGGGGGGGGGGGGGGGGGGGGGGAGGGAAGGAGAGAATATATAACTAAAATTAAGTTAACATTGTAAAAAAAAAAACTTTATAGAATAATCTCATAACTTCAAACATTCCAAGATGGCCATTTAACATTCATTATGATTGCATAGTCCTCTGTGTCCTCTACTCCACTCAAAACCACAGAACCAAATTTTGACCCCTTTGCAGAAGGCCAAGAGAGTGGGGTCCCTCCTCACCTCTGGGGACAGGGTGTTCCATAATGTGGGGGCAGTGACAGAAAAGGCTTTCTACCTAGACTCCACTGGATGAAACTCCTTGGCAGGTGGGGTCTATAGCATTCCTTCCCTGCTTGAAGAAGTGATGGGGTGAAGCCAGTTCTGTAGGTAACCTGCTCTAATGCCATGTAGGGCTTTATAGGTGATGACCAACACCTTGAATTGGACCCAAAAGCAAATTGGTACCCAGTACAATTCATAGAGCAATGATATATTCTTCATTCTCTAGTCCCCCAGTATGGCTCAGACAGCTATACTCTACACCAGATGAAGCTTCCAGAGACTTTTTGAGGTTAGCCCCTGTATAGCACATTGCAATAGTCCAATGGGCGATGATGAAGGTTTGAATGACTCAGCAAAGAACCTCCTTTTATTATTGCTTCAAAAGCCATTTATTTAGCAATATATATTTTTCAATCTTGTGAAAACCTCAGCTTTGATCAAAGATTCAAGGGTATTGCACATATGTGTCATTGAATTGGTTTGACTACAGACCCACATAGAGTTTCTCCATGATGATCTATCCTACCATGGTCTTTCAAGTCTCTCAATTGTACACTCAACCCCATTGTGACTGAGTCCACTCAATTTGCAGCTGGAAATTCTCTTCTCTTTCTTTCCATTAGAGCCTTTTCCAGAGAGCTAGATTTTTTACATAGATTTTTTACATAATGTGTCCGAAGTAGGATAATTTAAGCATGGTCATAAGAAACACTGCTTTTAGTGACTCATCCTTTGAAAGTATCTTTGCTCCATATGGATAGGCTTAAATGATGAATCACTAAAAGCTAAAGCTTTTTTCTTCTTAATAAAGGAGAGTATCTCAGGAATTTGTGTTTCTATTAAATTTATTTATATAAGCAATTGTTGCACCAGAATATATATATTTTTCCATAATCTTATGGACGTACTTTCTGGTCTTAGATTGTGTGGGATAATATTGCTGCTACCAATAAGTCACTATATCAGACTATATATCTGGGACTTGTATGTAATCATAGAGGTAAAATAAACCCTGACAGGAAAACTGCAGAAATAAAAGTCAAGTGGAGAAACTATCTGTGACTTTTATGTCCTCCTGGTGAATAAAAACCCATAATCCTCAATCAGCATGAAGGCTGAAATCAAGTATATATAGACAGGGGTGGGATTCTACCAGTTCGCACCTATTCGCTAGAACCAGTTGTTAACATTCTAAGTAGTTCGGAGAACCGGTTGTTAGAAGAAATTACTGGCCTAATCCTGTAAGGAAGGCAGAAAGGAAACATTCTGGTGTTGCTTACAGAAACTGCCTCTCCATTAACTCTTTATTACATCCTTGGCAGGACTAGACTTCCTGTCTCAGGAACTTCTCTGGAGTTTTTTCCCCCTCCTTTGCTGGTATTTTGCTTGTGTGGAGTGACCATTCAAAGTTACAATGACACTGAAAAAAGTGACTTATGACCCTTTTTCACACTTACAACTGTTGCAGCATCCCCACAGTCATGAGAGGCCAGGCGAGGAGATGCATGCCTCGATGTGATATTGAGTTGGCCACACCCAGCCAATAACATGACCACCAAGCCATGTCCACCCAGTCACATGACCACCAGGCCACACCCACCACCTAAGCCACACCCACAGAACCAGTTGTTAAAAATGTTGAATCCTACCCCTGTATATAGATAACTATCTTGGGGAAGTTTTCTTGGAAAAAATACTTTAAAAGAACTGAAGAAGCTTCTTGGATGGTGAAACATCTTCAAAGAAAATCAAAGAAAGTCTAGTTGCTTTTTGAAAAAGCACCATTGGGACAACCATGACCTGGATGACTGAGAATTTCCATAGACATACTTTAAAAGAGTTTAGCAAAAAGAATTTTAAAATTAGCCTTAAACTAATAGTGTCACCAAACCCAAGCTATTTCAAGAGCAAAAAGATTCAGGATGAGCAACAATCTCTAACTTATTTCTCAAATAACCAGGTAGCACATAGTTCAATACATCAAATTAGCTTTTGGGAGTCTAAGTTGAGATTAGGTATTCTTCCTAATGGTTTTCTAGGTTTTTTTCTCAGGGTTAACAATATAAGTAAACCAGAAAGCATTTTAATGTGGCTAGTACTCATAATCCAGGTAATAAGATCCCACGTAATCATCATCCCAAACCAACACACAGCAGTTGGTGGCCTCTTTATTGAAGTTACAGACAGGTTGGTAGGTGCTTTTCCATTTTAACAAATGGTTTTGGCCTGGAACTAGGAGTAAGACCATTTGGGCCAAAGTCATCCAGCCATCTGAGAACAAGGATCTGTGTCCCACTGTTCCTACTCTAGCATATTAAATACTACCATGCTGGTTGTCAATTTTTATTTTTTATAAATTCATGTATAAATATATATACATGATAAAAAGAACCACAAATTATCTAAAGAAACATGTTTTATTTAAAGTCTTAAATACCATCACCAGAATGAGTTTGATTTACATTGATTGGTGTTCATCAAAAGGCCTTGTCTGCCTTTTCTCTCCCAACCTTGATTCCAGTTACTTTTAAAACAGACTATGTACAAGACAGCTGTGGTCACTGGAAGTATGCTATTTACATGACTAAATTATAAGTAGAGTTGCAGACATGTGAATATTTAAAAAATACAATCAAAAATAAATACTGCATAATGACCAGTTACATACACACTTTCCATATTTTTATGCCCTCCTTGTCTGAATTAGAAATATTTTTATAGGAATATGCATAAAGTGTGCATATCACAGTATCAGGAAAGGAGCCGTACACTTTAAAAATGTTTTTGTTTTATTTTTAGGGATTAATGCATGTGTTAGTAGTCATTGATTGCTCATACACAGGTGATTAAATTATTTCAGTCAATATGTTTTTAACCAATCATTAACCTATACATAATCTTGTAAAAGATCAATTATCCTTCTTATCTAGGTAATTCTTTTGTGAATGCAAAAGGGTTTGGTATGTAAACAGAACTCCTGTCAACAAGAATTCCTTTTGGGATACAGGTGCTGTTTGAGATCACTGCAGGGGTACAATTCACCAAGCATTTTGACTGTATTAATTCCATTCACATTCAATGGTACTCATGCATGGAACATGGGCAAACCCTGAAGGAATTTTGTTCTGTTTTAAAATTGATCCATATAAAAGAAATGGCAGTATACCCATTTTTCCTTTTGCCCTCCTATAATTCATGTACATACAGGGATATGTAAATACAAAGTAAAATATTCATGAGTATGGCCTTAAATTAATAGTTGCACATATTAAAATATTATTGCAATGTCTCATCATTAAACAATAGGTCTGTAAGGCATCTAAAGATACAGGAAAAAAAGGATGATCTACTTCAACATGAACAAGTTACATATCTTTTTATCAGGAAAAAAATGAGATCTGGACTTAAAATTATCCACATTTCCAGTTACCCTAAATTACCTGATATAGGAAACAGGTGTTTGTTTCTTCAAATACCTGCAACATGTGCATTTTAGGTTCTTGGTGATGGGTGTCAAAATTAATAAATGTTATGTACTTTGTTTAAGGCGTTTAAGAATTTAAAAAAAAACCTGCAATCTCTTTGGGCATGTGATTCTCATTAATAGAAATATTAAGTAGATACAGGACTGCAGCTCAAATTATGACTTGAATGTCAAGTTCATATTCACTGATTTCCCATCCCAGTTTATGAAAACTGAACAGAAGAGTTTAATAGGTAGCAATTTATTTGGCTCAATGGAAGTGATAAGATGCTGATATTTACCAAGACTGTTCTGATATTTCTTTATCTAGAAATGATACTTCAACCTTTGAATGAATGATGCTGGTGCTGAAAACAAATTTATTGAAGATGTTTTACAAATGGCCACATGATTCCAGTATTTTGCTGTAGAATTCAATTTGAAGGTGAGAGGGAAAAGTTTTTCATGCACTGTACAATAAACAGCAAAAAGTTCAATTTGTTATCAAATACATGCTGAATTATTGTAAGGTACTCCCCAAGCCATGTTGCAAAATTCTTTTCAACATGCTTGAAAAAAGTTCTTAAACAATTTTTTTCTCAAAGATTTCAGAAATGCAGAATCAGTCTGTATCCCTGAATCAAATAGGGAGCTTGAGAGTAGTAGTAAGTCAAAAAGTAGCAATTTCGAAGGATAATGATCGTCCTGGGAGCCAGGACAGCAACGAGAGGGCAAAAGGAGGATGGGGGAAACAAGAAGGGAAAGAAGTGTACAATTTGCACATATTTTGAACTTTACAAGGCTTGTACCTTTTACATTTAAATAAATTTAATATATTACATTTATTTCTTGTCACATAAACATAATTTGAGTATTTGCTAGAAATTATTAATTTGTCATTGTTGTCTGCAAAAACACAGACCATGATTGGTTTAAAGAATGATAACTTGGTGTGTCTATCACCTTGTTGCATTCTCTCCCTTTTAAAACCATGCACTAGTGAAATTTATTTTTAAAAATAATATAAATTGTTGAAAATGGCTGATTTATTCTTTTTTTTTTTTTTTGCAAGTTGCAGCCCCAAGAAAATAATTTTAAATGTTCAGCATAATCTGTGTCCATGCAAAAAAAGTGTCTTTAATTCATACAGTACAGTATAGCCACAGGATTTTACTTTTCAATTAGTCCACGCTGGATTTGATTAGTAGCCGGAGTTACAAAGCCTGCCACTCTAAGTCTTCAAGCTTTCTGATAAGGCAAGTTTCCTCTGCTGTTAATGAATGCAATGACAGCTCACTTTTCTTTTTTTCTTCTAGCACGACTTCTTTGGGTAGTTCCATATATCTGTGGCATAACCAGGCTTGGGTGGGTGCGGGCAGGAAAGGGCCAGTAAAGAAAAGGGAACAAGAAAATAGACGTGCCATTGAAGGGATTCTTGTTGTATGAGACAACTTGATTCTTTAGTTTAATCCATGGCTTCAAATTGGATTAAAAGTTGAGTGTTACTGAACTCCAAACCATTCAGTTCTTCCAGTTCCACTCCTTCACCTGAGGACTTCCTTTAGAGCACAATGTGTGCAACTTCCTCTGAGAATACAGGATCGCTTTCTAGCCCTAGAAACAGGCTCCAAAGACGCAACATTAAGCATGCAGTGTTACCAGAGCTTGCGACCTGTTAATTTTTTTTTTTTGTAACGCTGGTTGCTATGATAAAGTTCACAGCTGCTATGAGCGAGCGTACGACGGTCCTGTTGAACTTTCGAGAGATGATTGGGAAGGCCTTCTTGTAAGAGGGGCCAAAGTTGGATCTACTAGGGACGAAGGAGGAAATAGTTTAAACCAGCCAATCACCATATTGGACAGGTCCAGTTCTTCTAAAAGTATCTGTGCCACTCCCATAAAGGATTTATGATCCATACGCCCATAGTCTCCCCATACAATAATCTGTTGGATTAAAAAGAAATAATATATTTTAAGGAAATAGCGAAGGAAATCCAATATTTTATGTAGAATATTTCTGAGATGGATAGATTCATATGTGCTGGTTTAATGAACCCAACAAGAAAAATATGAGCTGGAAACACTGCTTGGAGTCCAAATTACTTTTACTTAAGTTCATTCCTGGCTCTTTTCTAATTTAATCTTCTCCCTGAGCCATATTATGATGTACCTAAAGAGTCCCTTAACTTTTGAAGAACGGAATGGCCTTAGATGGCTCATGTTACATTTCATCTCAAATGAAGATTAAAATTTAGATTCTAACAGAGCTAAATCCAACCAAAAAATCTCTTCATTATTTAAAACATTGACCGACACATTTGATTACATAAAAAAGACTTTGCAAATTATGTTTGCAAATGCAAAAGGATATCCCCAAAATTTAATTAGTACTAACCAGTACTAATTAATTAGTACTAACTCTAAAATCCTAAAAATGCTATTCATTATAAAATCAAGGCACATTGTTTGACTTTACTAAGGCTGGCATGTGGAGTAAGCAATAACTCAAACCTTGCTAGCCTGCTGAAAATGTCTGATAATAACTCCCTTCCTAGTACATTTTGTAGCAGGGTTGCAATCAAAGCTGCACAAATATCTATAAAAATGACAGCATAAAAGGAACACAAGTCATTGATTCCACCTTTTACCTATAAGAACAGGTAAATAGAACAAAAGTATTTCTTTGAAAGGGTGAAGACTGCAAGTCCAAGATAAACCTCTGATGATAACCTGAACAAGTTCACATACTTGGGAAGAATTTCAGAGTAATTTGCCATAGCTTTTTCTTAAAGTGTTCTTTCTATATCAGTGGAATCCTTCAGGCCTGAAGTCTCCTGGTCATTTCCCATTCAGCAAAGGTCATGAGATCTGTTCCTTAATAGTTCTCAAGCTAACAACTTAATTTGGACCAGTGTAAAGATTTGAAGATATTTCAGTACTGCAACACTGGATAGATAAAAAGTAGAACATCATCTGAATTTAGGTCCTTTCATATCCGAATGACTGGTAATCTGTCTTGAATCTCATTCCAGATCTATCTCTCAGTTTTTTTTTCTTTTTAAACACTTTAAACTTTTTCAGAATGATAAATGTAATAAATAAATAAATACAGTTGGAAGGTGCTTATCTATTTTCTTCCAAAATAGATTTAAACGTATCAACCCAAATAATTGTTTACAGTTTAAAGTATGGCTATATGAATGATAATCTGGAAGCAGCTCCCAATAACTACAACATAGCTATTTCTATGTGACTTTTTACCAAATACGCTATGAGACTTTTAATCTGCAGTCTTGGATTTAATTTTTATTTGCTGCGGTTTCCAGTCATAATGTTGTATTGTACTTCTATTTAGGTCACAGCAGGAGGGAGCATCTAGCTTACTTTGGCTAATTTTGGAAAAATAAATCAGGGTTAGACCTGATTAGCATAAGAATGGAAGACAACTATTAAATCTCCAGGCTAGACAGTGTTTGACTATGAGAATAATGCTGTTTTTGCTCCCTTCTAAAAAGAGAAAATAGCAAGAGTGAATGTGAAAAACAACAGAGGATTAATTTTGCGAAGTATGCCTAGGAAGCTGTTTGGTAGAATTCTGCTAGAAAAAGTATGAGAAGTAACAATGACTAAAATTTAGGAAACGCAGTACAGCTTTATGCCATATAGTGATGGATATAATACTTTTTTTTGCACTTCAAATTGTCATTAATAACCACATGAATGCAGCAAGAAAATTGTGTTTGCTGATTTAATGAAAGTATATGACAAAATAAATCAGCTGGAATTCTGGAACATTTTAAATGACTATAGAGATAAAGGCTGATTACTGAACGCAGTAAGAATGACACAGGATAAGAAAGCATGGGTGAGAATAAATGGAAAACTTAGTAAATAGTTGGATGTTGAGTAAGATGAGAACGTGTGTTTCCCCCTTTTTTTATTTAATGCATTTACAAATAAATGTTGATGTCATTAGCAGTGAGTTGGTCAGGATGTGAATCTTTGTACAAAGATGATACTGTCTTGTTGGCTGAGAACCCAAATAATTTGCAATAAATTACGGCTGTATAATACAACAAGTAATATAGAAAATGATGTATCCAAGATAAGGATAGCTGTTATAAGAAAAAAAAATAGCAAGTTATACATAAATGGCAAAAGACCAGAGCAGGGAGAAGAAGAAGAAAGGGATGAAGAAATGTTCAGATGTGCAAAGATGAGAGACAGCAGGTAGTAAAACAAGAAGGTAGAGTCAAACAGTGATTGGTTGCTAAATTAATGCAGATTGAATACAAAACAGAGTACCCAGTATGAAATAAATTCTTATTGTTATTAGTTTGGGGTTCATAGAAAGGATGAATGAGAACTTCTACAACTGATCTATGAAAGAGTGAATGGTTGAAAGAAAGCGAGGACCTGATGCTGGATGAGGTTGATGAGTTTTGATGAGTTCCTCAGAAAGATATATGAAAATATGGAGATAGTTGGAGGTAGTATGGTTTGCAAAGATAGAAAACTTTGCAGAAGCTATGGTAGATTTTAATAGTATAAAATAGTTTTAGCTATATTTCTTTTTCTTATTATCATTTAATTTCTTTAGCTAACTCTTTTTCTCTGCACTCTGCATAAAAATGCTTATCTCAAATGGGAAAACAAGATGGATGTCTCTATGTGTATGTTAAATATTTATGTAAAAGCAAGGTAGGATATTATTTGTTTATAAAGTTGGAAATGGATTCGTATAACAGAGAGCTTAAAACAGTATTAAGCCATAAAACAGCTGGGGGGAGGGAGGTTAGCCTTCACTATATTAAATTAATATCCTAGAGCAGAACAGAAAAACAACTTGCAACCGAGGCACGAAGGAATTGAAGGATAGATGAAAGGCATAGGGCCTAACCCAAAGGTGCTTTTTCAAGAGGCAACTGGACTTTCTGGGTTTTCTTTGAAGATGTTTCCACATTACAAGATTCCAGAGCTGAGGAAGCTTCTTGGATGAGAAGCGAAACATCTTCAAAGAAAAAACAAAAAGTCTAGTTGCCTCCAGAAGTTGTGAAAGCTCCAACACTGGAAGTTTTTTTAAAACAACATTGGATAACCATTTGTCTGAAGCGGTGTAGGATTTCTTGCCTAAGCAGGGGTTGGACCTCCAAGCTCTCTTCCAATTCTGTTATTCTATTCTATTCTAGTTGCCTTTTGAAAAAGCATCCTTGGGGCAACCATGACCTGGATGACTGAGAATCTCCATGGGCATATGGCCTACGTTAAACTTAGCAGCTAATATTAGCTACTCCCTGTTCCCTACTTGCTCTCCCACCCCAAACTGAAACTCAGGCTACTGTTTCCTTGCTGCTTAGGGGGTTGTTTAAGGAAATCCCCAAATGCTTCAGGGGCTTCTTTCTGATTTTATGGGAAGCAACCAGAAAAGAAACTTTTATCAGCACGAGATGTGTAACACATCTTGAGAAGTTCAATGGAGTTCAATGGAGAAACACACAGCTATTGCATGATGGTGGGTGATATAAAAAAAAAAGGCTTGCAACTTGAATAATGTCTCAAGTAGCCATCCAGCAAACCCTTTTGTACACTTCAGACTGAGATGTACACTGCTTTTGTTGTAGTAGCTACTGAGATGTTCAGTGCACCATCTGGTTCATTACAGCATGCAGAATGTAAATGTTTAAGATCCAAAATGATGAAGAGGGGTTGTATTGCTACACTGCTACAATGTTCTTCGCTTGACCTTTCATTTTGTTTAACTCATGGAACCAGATGGTGAAGTTCTTTGAATGATAGAGTGGTTGTCCCTGCCTTAAAAGGAATGGTAAGTGTTCCACTCCTATAAAAATTCTCCATTAAAAGTTTATAGTAAATAATTCACGGGCGCTTCTACAGTTATCATTGTCACAGGCTTCTGACTTCTGTAGTTAGCGTGCCTATTACCAACCCTTAGCTGACTGGGCAGATGTGCCATTGCTGAAGAGGAACAGTCTACCGTATTTGTCCAAGTGCCAATGACCTATAATGGTAGGTGGGAATGACCTTGGGCGACAGGCACAAGCAGATACGATGCCTGTGGATTTTCAGTAGTCTGTCATTCATTCTTTCTAGGGCTGAGAGAAAGTGTCTGGTCCAAGGACATTCCGCTGGTTTGGGTTGAAGACAAGGCTAGAATTCAGAGTTTCCTGGTACAGAAAAATCCCCTTTGCTGAATGAAGATGTCCCTTTGATGTAGATGCAATGGAAATCACAGTCCATTTTTTTGTTGTTGTTATACTGCCAACTCTACAGCGACTCTCTTTGTAATTGATCTCCCCACTTCTTTTTCAAATTCCCAGGACAATTCTGTTTTCTTAAACAATGCTAAATTGTTTTATACCATGTAAAGTCTGCCCTGCAATGAGTAATTATTGTTAATGATCATGCAATATATTTATTTATTTATTGGCTTAATTATTTATTTATTTGAATTTGTCAAACAAAAAGGAGAACAAGAATAAAAGAATAAAAATACACTGACAGGGACAATAGACACGTTAGTGTACTTATGCACGCCCCCTCTACTAACCACTTAAGTATTATGTAAGGTCCACGGAAGTCAATTTGTGAATGAAACTGTTAAAATTTGTAGCTGAAACAACTGAATCAGATGGAGCATTCCAGACTTTGACCGCTCTATTACAGCAATCATATTTTTTATAATCAAGTGTAGAACGATTTACATTGAGTTTAAAGCGGTTGTTAATGGGTGAATTATTGCGATTAAAACAAAAAAGTCATTTACAGGTAAAACATTACTACATATAATTTTGTATGCAATACCTAGGTCTGACCGCAAGTGATGCAGTTCTAAGTTAGCCAAACCGAGAATTTTGAGCCTAATAGCATAGGGAATTCTATTGTGTACCGAAGAGTGCAAGATTTTTCTCGAGAAATACTTCTGAACCCGCTCAATTGTACTGATGTCAGATATTACTATGGAGGCCTTTTCTTTGGGGGGTCTGTGGTCATCATATGGTCTATTCACCCTCATCTGCAGCTTCTAGTAGGATGCCTTCTCTATTATATGCTTGTTTAAGCACTTCCCTTCCCTAGGGAAACCTTATTAACAATGCTACCTTATGGTCACTTACAGAAGGATTTCCTTGATGGGGTTGCTGACTCTTCGGAATGCTTTTCTTCATGTGTGAGGACTGCCTGCCTTTACATTGGCTATTGAAATCCTACCTTTTCAGGGACGACTTCTCCATATTAAAGGTGGAGACAAAAGTTTGTTTATTTGCATTAATCCATTTATTCCTCTTCCATTCTTTTTTTACTATGTATATTTTACATTAACTACTGAATGGGATTTTTTTCAGGGTCTCTTTCAGTTCAACTGAAATATTTTATGGGAAGCAATCCCCTTCTTCAGTGTAAATGTATTTGGATACAAGTAATTTAATTGTAGATTGTAGAGTTAGTTCTTTTTTGCTTTTAATGTATGGTTTGTTTATGGTTTGTTTTGTTTGTTGAGTGTCTACCGATAATAATTCTTCATCTGTAATTTCAGTGATTGGTTGTATTGGATTGTGTATTGTGGATGTATTATTTGCACAATCCAAACCATCTTAATTTGATATTTCAAATGGCCATTGTTGAGCATTCATGTCTAGCATTAATTGTTTGTGTTTGTCATCCATCCATATTTTATGCATAGATTGTCTCACCATTGGAATTAGTTCATTTAATTCTTCTGAGTGAGTTCTGTAATAAGTATATCCACCAATAGATGTAGGTTTGTATTGTTTTCTAAAGAAGAATTTTAATATAATTTCAGAAGCATTTACTTTTTGAGTGAATCTCATTTTTTTACCTTTATGAAAGTAGTCTTTAACAGTTACAGTTTTGTTATCATATTTTGTTCTATATTCTGTTAGTTCAACGAATAAATGATTAATCTGCACAGTAGTGATGCAAATTACCTGTAAAACTTTCCCTTGAGGGTTCTCTTCAAATGACAACAGCTGCTGGTAAAGTGGTTCCAGGGTTTTTCTTGCCACTTTTGTTTTCTTTTTGGCTATACAGACTCCATTTTCTAATAGATACACCTTTACATAGGGTGCTTTGGAAGAAAAAATATAAACAACTGTTAAGAAAATGTTCACATTAGCTATGCTCTTGAGCAGTCAGTGATATTTAGCTTCAGCTGAATATATCTTCACACAGTGCATTTATGAATGACCAAAATTACTTATGCAAGCTTGTCTTTCCATCCTTTGTCCCTTTTCCCGAGCATTGGGAATCAGCAAATACTAGCAGTATTGCTTCAGGGTTCGATAGATGTTTAGTCTTCAATAGAAAACTAACCAAAGCAGAAGGACAATTCACAGTGGAAGCTTTGGATCAGAGGTGGTATTCAGCAGGTTCTGACCAGTTCTGGAGAACCAGTAGCAGAAATTTTGAGTAGTTCGGAGAACCGGCAAATACCACCTCTGACTGGAGATTTTACAGTATCCTTCCCCTGCCACGCCCCATCAAGCCACACCTACAGAACCGGTAGTAAAAAAAAAAAATGAATCCCACCACTGCTTTGGATCCCAAGAATACTAAGAGTTTAGCTTAGAATTCAGATTTAATCGTGGTTTCAATTAGGAAACTGTGACCATCCTAGACCAAAAATGCTACAGAATTTCTAGAAGTCTGGCACTCTGACAAATTAGCCATCAATAGACAGATAGACATAAACAATATCTATATACTATGCAAAAGAAACAAAAGTCAAAAAGGGACCAAAAAGACCAAAGCGCCTTCCCACCACCAATCAGCATCTAGATAAACATAGATTAGCTCCAACATTAACATCAGACCAGTAATCAAGTGAACAATACCTCAATCAAGGAACTGCCAAACAAGACAGCCCAGCCAAACAAATTTTAAGACCACCCCCATCAACACTGACAGGGCAAGCGACTAGTATATAAACTTAGAGCAAACGCCACTCCTTACTAGCACTGATGATGTTACCTAGTTTGGATAATGAAACATCTGCAAGAAAGCCACAAAGCTCAGAGAGCACCAAAGACCCGTCATACTAAGAGTTTTAGCATTGTTAATTAATTTTATATATCAAAACTGGGACAGAATTAAGAAAATTGAATTATAAAGGTAATACTCTGTATTGTGCAGATCTCATCTCTAAAGAAGAGGACCCTACGGGGATGTTCAGTACCGTAAAGCTGAGACTACTTTCACTAAATGTTGTGGTTATGGAAAAGTTAAGGTTATGGAAAAATGAATTGCTCCCATACTATCACAGCATTTATAGTTCTGGGAGCTAAGCATACTTCTTTTACCTGGCAGTGTCTTTGAACCTGGTTTTACAACAAGGCCTCGTGCTCTTATTATTTCTACCTCCAATTGTCCCTTTTTGTCCATCATTCCAACTTGGATATCACCTAAAGAGACAAAAAAATGCAACTATTTAAATGAAAAAGGTGCAATTGTATGAATGCGTGCACACATGCACAAACACTTACAGTCTGGGATTATATAAATAGACATGAAAGTAAATGACTAAATAACTCATCTGTACTTCATCATCAATTCAGTTTAACTGAAAACTACATCTGATCACTCGATTGTACTAGATTCTGACTTATAGGACTGAACAATAGTTTTTCTATTTCTATTATTAACAACGTAAAGGATAGGACAGCAGTTCTCAACTGGGGGCTATGGGATACTTCAAGAGGGCTAAAGTTGAAAAACATATAGAACTGTTTTAAAGAGTTGATCTTTGATTTGCTCCCACAATGTCATGGAAAGGGAAGATCTTAACCACGGTAACAGTGTTTGTTCTTTGTACCAGGGTCTGATTTATGAACTTGTATCCACTGTAAAGGGTTTTTCATGGAAGTATCAAAACCATACAGAAATCTTTTAACAGAATGTATAATCATACAAAATCCCATTAGACTTTTTAATTTTCAGCATTTATAACATGCATCCAGTTGACATATCAGCAGTAGCAGTCAACTGAAAACTGACATTTGAGCCACTTCATTTATCTGCTCTTGCATTACTGCCTTCTCTACCAGTATTATTACCAGTATTACCCAAATGCATATTGTTCTCCATGGCCACTTCATTTAGAGATAACTATAACATTGTCCTGCTTTTTTTCAGTTTAGGGACCATGTCTTAACAGGATGTGCATATTATGCAAAGAGCTGTTTTTCTCTGCAATTTTAGCGTACATGTATATACAATATGCCATTATTACTGAGGGGGCGAAATCTATCCAAAAATAACAAAATACATTTCCTACAGCTACAAAGCAACGAGTTCAGATTGTCTGAACAGTGTGTCTAGTTATTTCTTTAATCACAGGGCATGTATAAAATATAAATATATAAATATAATTTTGTATCAAAAGTTTTGCAGTTTATGGCAAAACCTGGTTCTGTGATAAACTAAGTACAGTCCCTGTAAAGGAATGTCTGTGGCTCATGCACATGTGCGAATGCATAAAAGCATTTTTTTAATGTATTTTTGATATTTACCTGCCTTGAAAACTGCAATCTCATCCCATGGGAAATCAGTGGGACTGTTCATTGTGATTGTCTTCAGTTACATTTTAAAGTTATTTCTTGTAATTTATTTTCTGGTACATTAAAATCAAATGTGTAGCAAGAAAAACATAGTGGAGGATCATGGTATGTGCCAAGAGAGGCAAAGAAAAGTGATGTGTATGATACTACAAACACTATCTAGCTGATGCCAGAAAAGGCATTGTTCCATGTCCGTATCCATAATAGAATTGGACAAGGGGTCACAGGAGAAAAGCAAGGTTGAAGTGAGCCACGGGAGAAAAAAGGATGAGAAATACTGCTAGAGGATTTATTTTCCCAATCAGCCATATATCTAATTATAATTTTCCATAAAAACACCATGATGTTTTCTAGAGGTTAGATATTAACAGTTGCAATAAAGCCATATAGAATAGTGTTAAAGTGCTGGATTATGAGAGGGGAGATCGAGATTTTAGACACAGAAGCCACCTTGAGTCAATCTTTCCTTGTCCATGCTAATTAGCCACAAGGCATTTATTTATTAAATTTCTTTGCCACCCATCTCACTTCAAAGTGTTAGAAGAAATGTCCCTCTGGGTTCAGTTCCAAGTGGGGAGAAAGACACTGGAAACATGGAGGCTGCTTGGGAAAATGGTTTAATGGTGAACAGGACCACATGGGTTTTGGGTCCCGGGCAGCTGAGCACATGGAGTGGGGAGTGAGTGTTATTTACACTGTCTCTTGGGCTTTGAACTAGAGCTTCCTATTCCTGTAGCAAGGACAAGTATCCTACTGGCTGTCAGCCTCCCAGGGGGCAGGGGTCTTAGCTAACTTTGTAGGCTGTGTCACAGGCTTGGTTGAAACTTGCTGGGTGATGTAATGAAGGGGCTTTCCTGTTGTGGCTGAATGGCTTTACCCTGAAGGATAATCCCATCATCCTGGAGCTGAAGGCCTTTTGTTTTGTAGATAGGCTGGCACCTGCTGGGGGCAGGGATCTGTAGGGAGCTGCTCTTTGTCTTCAAAAACATGTCTCTCCTTTTCTCATCCAAGGAAATATAATATTCTGCCTTTTTAATATTTCCTAGAATATTTCATTCTTCTAGGAGAGGGGTGGGTACTAACTTTCTACAGAAGCGACTCTGAGTTGCTACAACATTAAACTACTTGAAAGAAAATCCCTTGTCATTTGTATACTGCTAGTTTTGCTTTAAGACTTAGATAAGCATAATGGAAAAATTGTGACCATGCAGGGCCAAATGTTAAGAAAAACGACAACAGATGCTCATAATCACTCTGAGGTGTGGGGGTTTTGTGTGCATGTGTGTAGGTTTGAGTGTTTTCCTTCCTCTTCAAATCTATTTTAAGTCAAAATTATTCCAAGAAATCCAAAGTGAATATAGATGGTTGACCAAGAGCAATACAGTTTGAGTGTGATTATTCAAATGTCAACATTTCTTACCCATTGCTGGAGTAGCTAGGGTCTGGCGTCCAACAAGCTGTGCAGGGCCAAGTCCATCCAGGAAATCACTGAATTGGCTATCTGCTGCCAACCGCACACCAGGAAAGATCAAACTAATAGAAAACACATCTCTTTTTACTAAGATGGTTCTAACACAAAGATCCATTATAAATTATATTATAATCATGGGCAACATTAGTTATGTTCCACTCCATATCTACTGTACATTTACAAATTGTTATTTTATGACACAAAAAATAAATTTATTACTGAATATGCTGAATATTTTATTTGATCTTAAAAATATTTTTGATCATATTACTTGTATTCTAGAGTCTGATCTGGAACCAAAAGATTTTAAGTAGCTTATATGGGGGGGAAAACACATTCTTTATTGTATTTTACAGTGTTTTAAATGTGGCTTTTAATATGGTAATACAATTGACTGAGACCTTAGACTTATATACCACTTCACAGTGCTTTACAGTCCTCTCTAAGCGGTTTAGAGAGTCAGCATATTTCCCCCAACAATTTGGGTCCTCATTTTACCCACCTCGGAAGGATAAAAGATTGACTCAACCTTGAGCCTGGTGAGATTTGAACTGCCAAATTGCAGGCAGATGGCAGTCAACAGAAGTAGCCTGTAGTACTGCACTCTAACCACTGCACCACCAAGGCTCTATAATTTCTGAAAAGAACCAAACTGGGCAGAACACATTTCCTGCTCATATTTTCAGTCAAATATTGAATTTAAATGTTGTTAATTAAAGGTATGTCATGTAAGCAGTTCCTTTGTTCTCAAGAGTATTTCATTTTCAAGAGTTACTCTAAGCCTCTTTCAAATTATATGTGAAGAATGACACTGAATGAAGACAAAAGAGTTTGCCTTAGATAAGCATATTTGTTATAATATTGCAAAACGCCCTGCATTGCCAGATGGAACACAGCTACTGGGATGTCTTCCCTATCTTCTAAATAATCTGGCTTTTTTTTTTTTTTTGACTGGCTGAAAAGATATTTGAAATCAATGTAAACTATTTCTTTTGCAGTGTCATTGAGAAATGATCACATGGCTTATTTTACCTCCTGTCTCTTCAAATGAATGCTGCCAGGGATGGGATGCTACTGGTTCTGCCTGGTTCTATAGAGCCGGTAGCTCTGAAGAGCAGCAGACACCAAACTGGTTCTGTGTTTGCTGCTGTTTGGCCCACCCACCTGCCCAGGCTCTTACCTGCCCTTTATTTCCTGCTTTTTCAACCTCAGCTGCTTTGCGCAGCACAGCTGAGGTTTTAAAAGCAGGGAAAAAGAGACTTTTCCAATGCTATGCACCTACGTGCAGCACTTTTCAGCTGTCCGGGCGGCACAGCCTAAGGTTATTCTACACACGCAAAACATAATCACCGAACCGATAGTAACGCCGGTTGAATTCCATCCTTGAATGTTGCTCAAGATAGTTAACTTCATACATATATAATAGTGTCTAAACCAGTGTTTCTGAATCTTGGCAAGTTTAAGATAGGTGGATTTCAAACCCCCATAGTTGGGGAATTCTAACAGTTGAAGTACTGAGAGACTGGAATTTCTGGAATCCTGGGAGTGGCAATCCACTCATCTTAAACTTCACAAGGTTGAGAAACACTGGTCTAACAGAGACAGCAAAACTCAAAATGGCAGTCATGGTGGTGTACCTCAGGGGTGTCCAACCTTGGCAACTTTAAGACTTGTGGACTTCAACTCCCAGAATTCCTCAGCCAGCTTTGCTGGCTGAGGAATTCTGGGAGTTGAAGTCCACAAGTCTTAAAGTTGCCAAGGTTGGACACCCCTGGTGTACCTGAAGCCCTGCCCCTTTTGTGCAGGTATGCAACACACACATACAAAAGATATGAGTTTTGATTATACTTAGTGGTGGGATTCAAATAATTTAACAGCCAGTTCGCCCAGGGTCAGGTTGGCTGTCATGGGAGGCGTGGCTCATCCCCATCCTCCAGCTTAGCCGCACATGCGGGATTTTGTGATGGCCAACCTGACCCTGGGAGAACTGGTTGTTAAATTACCCCCTCCCTCTATCAAAGTGGATCCTGGGCACTGTGCTGCAATGGAGAAATGGAAAATGAAGTGGCTGGCATAAGGAGAGGAGGAGAAACAGGGAGAAGAAAGAGGGAAAGCAACCTTCTCCTTCACTTGCGCCAGCCACTCCATTACCCATTTCTTCATTGCAGCACAGGGCAGGCCCCAGGATCCATTTTCATAGCGGAGTGGGTGGGTGTGTAATTTAACAACTAGTTCATCCAAATCAGTGTGAACCGGCTGAATCCCACCACTGATTATACTGTGGTGATCAACATCTTGGCTTTGTGCTTTTTCTAGAGATGCCACTGTCCTTCCACAACGGCCTTTTCCTACTTGGTACCTACCAACTGTGTTGAAATAAAATCCCATCATTCCCTTCTATCTTGCCTATTGGTATACAGCAGTGGCCAGGCATGCTAGAAGGATAGAAGGATGTTGGGGAAAGAAGGGTAGGCTATTTTTGTATCCCATTAAATGCATACTCTATGACAGCCCTTCTTTTACTTCGTTACATATGTAAAGAAGGTGACAGCCGTATTTATGTGATTGCCAGTCTAAACAACCAGTCCTGAAACTAGTATTGTGGGGTATAGGAAAATTCAGCAGGAGGAAGAGTAGCTGGTGACAGTCTGGGTGCTCTCACATCACCAAGTGATAGCAAAGTGATAAGCTCTGCTAAGATCCATGAAAAGCAACATATTTGTAGAATAAAAATATATTTTTCATATATACATAAATGAAATATTCATATATGTATATATGAGAGTTTTTGTTGGAAATGACGTCCCAGTATCAAGAGAGGGAGAGAATCACATTTATTGCTTCTTAAAAATGATATTCTATATTCAGTTAACCTCACTGGGATTTAGAATGATGTATGTTCACATGCAATGTTGTGATCTTAAACCCAATTTAAATCAATGACATTTGTTTTAGAGATATTTACTTACAATTACAGTCAGGACTTACTTTCCCTCTGAGCTATAACTGTTCATGCTGCCATCTGTAGACTCCCTGCTGGCCTGACGTGTCATCCAATTTCTCATCTCCACAGCCAACCCAGTTTCTGTGCTTCTTTGTACTGTACTCTTCAATTTTTTACCACCTGCTTCTGAAAAAAAAGTAAAAAACACTTAGTTGTATCAAGTATCCATATAAATAGAAATATATTTAAATGGCCAATAAAAACATAGAAATTCAGAGTTGTACAATTTTGCAATAACACTAAAATGCTTAGGAGACATTATTTTAATGGTAGTTGTTACAATTATCACCTACATATGATCTTCAAAGTTAAACATGCACAGTCAAACAGTTTTATTTACACTGAAGGTATGAAAATAATTTTGCCTGTGTAATTAGGTTTTCCACCTAGCAATTAAATTGGAAAATAACTCTATGGACAGCCAGTATAATAACCATTGCATTAAGGGAAAGAACTTATCATGTAAATTAGTTTAAGCATAAATAATTATATTTGGATCAAGAAGTATCCTTTTATCTAGTCAGAAACTACCAAAAAAAAGCGAAACAAGATATTGGTATATATGTTTTGCATCTGTTGCTTAAATTCTTCATGGATTCATTACATTTCACCTTTCATTCAGGAACTCAAAAGGAGGTATATATAGCATTCTCTTCTATTTTCTTGAACAATCTCTAAATCTAGTGAAGTTAAATAACTAGAAGAATATTATTGTCACCACAATATTGTCTTTGTATAGCAGCCTCCGTGTACATAGGTTCCCCATGTATCTGCTACTTCAGTATCAGATATTGCTTAATCTAATGTTTTCAGGAATTTCCAGACACTAAAATCAAATAGCATATTGAAGCAAGTTTTTGTACAAGAAAACATATATTATAATTTTGATATTTGCAAAGCAAATTGGTATTTCCTTTCCTTTCTAAAGAAGGATAATATTTTAATCATCGCTTTCTCTGAATTTAACAGGTGCTGTACTGAATTTGACCATAACAAGAAACTAGTGTAACAACAGTAATATTCTGCTAATCCAAATGCTTCCCATAAACAAAACACTCTGAATGTTGTTTAATATTTAAATGCTGAATATTACTATGAGTAGTTGCTGAGGTTGAAATTGAGTGACAAAATAAACTCCAGCTTAATACTCAAACTTTAAGTTTATTTATTTATTGCATTTATCAATTGCCCCAATCTCGAATTATTCTAAGCAGTGTACTAAAAAAAACACCACATTGTTACAAAGTTGAATATATATATATATGTTAATAATTATTGAATAGTTAGAATTTAAGTATTTTAATTGTGAAGAATAAAATGAGTGTTAAATCCTGAACAATGTACTCATCTAAGAGGACATGTAGTATGCATAGAATTTCTGTAAATGTATATCTTAATATGTTTTGAAGCATATCCAAACTGGTGCATCTGCTATTTTTATATCTTGCAGCATAAAGTACAATGCAAAACTGTGATTATATTTAGTTAGGAAATAGTTCGCTATAGAAACTTTGCTAAATTTCTATATGTAAGATGTCAGAAAATAGCCTACCATATGGAGCAATGATGACAAGGGACTGTGATTTTAAATATTTTATACATTTGTGACTCAACAGTCAAACTTTCAGTGTTACAATAGTTTCCCCTTTGCAGTTTTAAAAGCTACAAACCACAGGAATAAAGTTAATTTATTCTTCATTAAAGTACTTCTGTTGCTTTTCCTCAAAGTATATGGGAAAGATGATTAATCTCTATCCTCTAAAAATGTATTTAGGTAAGTACAATTTTCTAACTCTTCGAAACATTTGCCAGATGCCTCACATTGCAAGAAAGCACTCAGCCAGGTCACACCAAAGTATTAATTACATATAAACTACATTTTAATTGTAATTAATGTCTACTAATTAAAATCAATTGTCTTTAAAGTAAGGTATTGTACTGTATTCATTTTCACCCACATAAACCACTCAGAAGTACAAAAGTACGAGCATATACATACATTTATATACAGATATAATTCCCTTCTTCTTTCCAGCAGAAACAGTGAAAGGAGGAGAAGGAACAACAACAAAAATAACAACAATAAACAAATAATAAAAACAGGCTGAATATGCAATAAGGAAAACTAGCCTCATTGGACAGCGAAGGAAATTAGAAAGGAAGAAAGAGATAACCAGTCAAGGAAGGGAAAAATGAGAAATAATCCCTCTTTAGGTTTCACAAAAAGAGTTAAATACACCAAATTAGCAGCGCTGCAAGTAACAAGTGATCTTCAGATGCACCTTCAAAAGCATCCAAACTTTGAACACCAAAAGCTATGGCTGTAGTTATTTCCTCCTCCTCCTCCCTCTTGCTGAATTATGATCATGCCTTCTGTAGTTTGCAGCCAGATGTACCAATTCTCCCACTCTCCCATTTTATTTTGTAATGATTAGAAACACTGCTAAACATCAGTTGTCATGAATCTTAGACAGGAAAGAAATGAAGTTCTGCATGGTATTCATGGTTAAAAAGAGGTTATTGGAGTAGACAGGTACCAAACGTCTTCCCTTCTAATCATGGAAAGGATAATCAGGTAGTTAGTAATCCAATGGTGCATAACACATAATTTATAAATTCACATAATAATAGGCAGGAAATCACATTAGCAACAAGTAGGTGAGAAATTCAGATGACATATTTTATGGACGTTATTTTATTTTGGAGAAAGGTTATATTTGAAAGATAGGATAAGCAATGATGAAGCATCAAAGCTGTATATCAATGATAGAAGTGTTATGATCTAAAAGAGAAGATATCTATAAATGTCAGAGAAAGAAGATATGGTGAAAGAACAAAGTTGGATGATTAATGTATACAGAACAGCAGTACAACAGAGCATTAAAGGTAAAGATTCCCCTCGCACATATGTGCTAGTCGTTTCCTGCTCTAGGGGGCAGTGCTCATCTCTTACAAAGCTGAAGAGCCAGCGCTGTCGGAAGACATCTCTGTGGTCATGTGGCCAGCATAACTAAATGCCAAAGGCGCATGGAACTCTGTTACCTTCCCACCAAAGTGGTCCCTATTTTTCTACTTGCATTTTTACATCAGAGGTGGTATTCAGCCGGTTCTGACCAGTTCTGGAGATCCAGTAGCGGAAATTTTGAGTAGTTCGGAGAACTGGCAAATGCCATCTCTGACTGGAGATTTTACAGTATCCTTTCCCTGCCACACCCACCAAGCCATGCCCACAGAACTGGTAGTAAAAAATTTGAATCCCACCACTATTTTACATGGTTTTGAACTGCTAGGTTGGCAGTAGCTGGGACAAGAAACGGGAGCTCATTCCGTTATGCGGTACTAGGGATTAGAACCATCGAACTGCTGACCTTTCCGATCGACAAGCTCAGCATCTTAGCCTCTGAGCCACCGTGACCAACAGAGAATTAGTTTTTCCCAAATGGTGTCTCAATTCAGAATGAAAGACAGGTCACAAGAAAACAATTATCTAAAGTTCATCCTGCATTAAGAAGCCAATTTGGTTCGTAGAAAATATGATTAGACAAAACTGAAACATCTATCAATATCTCTCAGGTTTCCCCTCCCATGGATTAACCATGCAGCAGCATGTAATACCTCAGGTAATAGGCATTGCAATAGTCTTATTTCACTAACAGCGTGTCTTCTGGTCTTCAGTATGATATGGGAAATATTTTTGTTTATGTGGCAAATTTCTTCTAGTGTTTGAAGAACTCAAAATCTTGAGTACATTGAGAAAACAAAAATGAACGAATATAGGTAATCCTTGACTTATGGTTTAATGATGGTTCAAAGTTATAGCAGCAACCGGAAAAAGAGACTCTTTATTCACATTTATAATTGTTGTGCCACTCTTACAGTTACGTGATCACGATTTAGGCTTTTGGCAACTGGCTTGCACTTACAACCAGTCACATGATTGAAATCTACAACTTTTTTTTTTTTTGCAAATTTCTATTAAAAAAACACCAACTGGGGAAACTGGATTCGCTTAATGACTGTGTGATTTTTGTAAGAACTGCAGTGATTTATTTAACAATTTCTGTAAAAATTGTCATTGGGCCTAACTTGACTTATGGCTGCAACATCTTAAGATGGAAATCCTGGTCCCACTTGTGGTCATAAGTTGAGGACTACCTGTATTGCAAAGGACTGAAAATGTGAAAAAAAGACAGCTGACCTCCCATGGAATGGCTGTGAAACTCAGCTCTTTAATGAAACTAATTTAATTTGTTAAAATTTTAATTTCTAAGAGCTCAATATAGAGCTCCAATACAGAATTCCAATTTTAAATTACATAAACTGCATAATTCATCTGAGAGACTATAATTTAGCATAAATTAAAATAATGTCACCTTGCATTCAATGTACAAAATTATATAACATTGTGAATACTTAATATGAAATGCTATTTTTTGGAATAAACATACATGTTTTGTATATGATTATGTACACCAAACATTGCAAAATAAAAACGCTGAATAGAGAACTAAAGTCAAATAGATGATAAGCAATTTTAAATAGATTCTGTCACTGAGATTGTAAATCCTTGATTTAAATTGATCGTATCTTAATTCTACTACCAAATATGCATGGTCCTTTCATCTAGAAGCTCTTCCATGAGTAAGTATATGCAGCAATAGTCATATCCTTAGCTGATCATGGACTACTTTGGTTCTGTCAAAATGGCTGCCATTCACATAGACAATTCAAAAGCATATTTACAAAAAAATAATAATAATCCTGAAACTGACAAGGATGATCCCCATCCTCACTGCCATCACAGTCTGTTTGCAGGAAGATATAAAAATATATTTTTATAAAGATGATTTTCTTTATGGCATGCACGTTTTCTTTAAAAACTGGAATCTAAGATAAAAAATAAGGCCAATGGAGGAGCAAGATATGACCAAATCAAGAGAGATTTTAGTTTGCCCCATTTTACTTATTTCTAAATATTTGAAGTTTGTATTCTTAATGTTTTATAGCACTTTTGAAGGTCTATGTGTATTGGCTGCAAAAATAGGGCAAACCTCTTGAAGTACTAATCCTTATCACAAAATGCACTGATATGGTGCAATAGCAATAGCACTTAGACTTATATACCG